AATTATTGATACCGACAAGAGGGCCTATTCCCACATACATCCTCCTCAATCTTGTTAGCTTACTATGGTCATGGCATTTCAAACATGGTGTATATACCACAAGTTTTCCATTTCCCTGATTAGTTACTTTGTAATAGTGTTTATATGTTGAGGAAATGGTTGGGTTGAAATATAATACAAAGACTTACCACTAGATAGTCAGATGAAAACTTTTTCCATATCAATAAAATGTCTTGTTGCATTTCATGTTATCATGTTGCAAAAACTCCACCTCCCAGTAAATTTAATTATTTGCAAACATAAGAAAATACCATCTAAAACTTTTCAACCTATTTAATATAGCCAATAACAACATCAACTCAACTTCTAAACTTAAAAGAAAACTTAATTGATGTTTGGAATTGATTTCTGTGATATAAAAATGAAATCCAGGTATTAGCTCAAGTTTTCTTAAAGACACCCACATTACATGCAGTTACAGCAGAGGTTATCAAATTAAATAACAGGAAAAAATCTCAAAAAGACGTCGTTTATTTCCAGCCAGAGGACAATCATGAAATTTGAGTCATACCTGGCAAATTCAAGAGAAGATATAAGAGAAGCCCATACGATTCTGGCGTATTGTTTTACTGACTCACAGTGCTCACTGAACGTATACACCTCAATCCACCAGTAATGTCTTAGCGCAAAGTGGTTTACTGTCGTTTCTTTCAATTTTGGCTCATTTTCCCAGACCGAAATTATAAGTCACGCTCAATAGAATATAATTTCAACTGATACTGACATCACGCACTTCATCTGAAGAAGAAAACACTCCCTATCTTTGAAAATTTGGTCACAACATCAAGAACAACGATCAGCATTAGATTCCATCCACCAAAACCACCTCGGTCGAGAGGGACTGAGACGGAATATTTAATGACTTGCAAAACATAACCGAAGATTCTCGGAAATCCGCAAGTGATGTAGCCGAACATCCGAAGCTGTAAATCCCATGATTCTTGAGGAACAAACAGAAACAGCATAGCGAGAATTTTAAGTCGCGAACCATTGCTTGATGGTAGACATGCAGATAATTTAGGATACGTAAATTCTGTTAATGAGGCGCATAAACTTATTGCGGAATTTGAAACAGGATTGACGACGAAGTTTTCTTTCTTTAAAGCTGTCAAAGGTTTCGGGAACACCGGTGTATATATATATACATATATATTGATATAGCTCTTTGGCATTACAAAGCTTTGCTATCGCTATTGTGCATTCTCACTAGTTTATCTAGTTCAAGTCCTCTGGCATGGCTTGGATGATACCACAATTGTGGAATCATTCGGGTTAACTTAATGCTTACATCTCCTTCCTCGGACAGAAGTCACAAAATACTGGGGGAAGATGCATGAGATATTTAAGGAGCATAAATTCGTTTTTCACTGGTGTGCCTTTCCTAATTTTGGGAAGGAAAGTGTTCAATTGCCAACACGGCATAGATAAAACAACTGGAGAGAAAAGGAAACGAAAAGATGCAGAAGAATACTGTGTATAATAATTTCTTTTTATCCTCAACCTTTGTGTTACTGTCAACTATGGCTTGCTAATTCGAAAGGTCAAATACATGAATGGGTCATATGACATCGATCTCAGAATACTTTTAGGACAAACGTGATAACACTTCAATCTTGGCTAAATTGAAGATGGTTTAGAAGTTAACAATTATAAGAACTTTTCACTAACATATGCTGCTGACAAAGGAGAAAATATATGCAATTCTGCATTTTTTGCTTTCTATCAAGCAATCATATGTTGGCTCCTTATCATGCTATGACACTTCCGTTTTGTCACATTCCAAAAAATAACTTGAGAAATACACTGTCACTCATCTTAAACTGTTATATTTACCTATTACAGAAGGCCGAAAACAAAGATTTTGTTTTCAAGAAAATAAGATTTCTTTTCCAAGACACAAGGAAGTTTGACTGCAAAGCACAGATAAAAATGCAATAAATTTTATTTTTTTCAGAGAACAAGGTAGTTATACTCATGTATAAACAGAACAAATCCAGTTTAATAAATCAGATATAAGGCATGACTCCTTTTCTTCCATCCCCACTCAAAACAAGCAAACACACCTATATAGGTTCCAGTCTGGTCTGCAAATGAAAAGGAGGAAGGTGATCACTACTAAATTAAGCATTAGGGTTCTTATTTATAACATATTGATTATTGTACACTGGTATCAAGAAATTAAGGTTGCAAGTAGCAGCCAGCTGAGTTATAGTTTGAGTTTTATCAAGTCCATTACTTTGTTAAATTTAGAGTAACCTTGTCTTGAGAGAAGGAAATTGAGGAGCTGTAATATACTTATCATCAATTAGGGACCACAAAGAAAAATTTATTTATAGAGACTTTTGAAGGAGAGGGGTAAGACTTGTGACAAGCTGGCAGACATATAGATAAACTTTACTGCTAAATGGGTTACAATACAAAGTGCTCAGTATTTGGATCAACTTAAACTTTGCTTTAGCTTCAAGTTTAATCCTTTGTGGTTTCCTTTCTCTGTGTTTATTTTTCAAGTTATATACACAGAAGAACACAAAAATGACAAGGAATGCTTTTGAATATTAAGAGGCTGGAATAAGCAAGAAACCAAAACTGAATTTTAAACAGTACAAAGTTAATTTGATCTTCCAATGTTATTTAATTTTAACCATTAATAGAATTTGCTATTTAGATTTATCCCCTCCATTTTTCTGGATATTGTGAGCAAAAACAAACAATTATCACAAAATGCATGGTATACAATGGTTTGATTCACCAATGTGGCAAAGGCCTTTCACTGTCTATCCATAAAAAGGGAAATAGTTTGTAAAATGTAAGACATTCTGCATCTTGAGTGTATACTTATTCATCCATGCAAAATTAAAGGTTACTTTAAATAAATGTGAAAGATTGATAGGATTATCAGACCCCTGATAACAATTACTGATGTGCTGATTTGTTGTACTTAAAGGTTATGATTTTAGCGGAAATAGTGGAAGAAATTTCTGGACCTGGAATTTTGTTGCAAATGTCTGTTTAAGTCAGTTTAAGTCAGTTATAAACTCTCCTGTTTCAAGATTACATGATTGCCACACCAGAACCTTTTGTATTCTATCTTGTGCACCATGTTATGATTATGGTTTCAATAATAAAAGGTGCTGACTCAAGAACTTTGCAAAATATCTCTACATACAAAGAAATAGATTGTGGTTATGTATTCCAAATAGCAGGTCACACCAGTCTTCTGTAAGGAAGTAGCAGAAATTGCTATGGTGGTTTTGGTGGATGGAAAGAAACATCCACCAAAACCACTTTATTCTATGTGTTAAGAGTTATGATAATCATTATGAACGTTTGGTCGGTCAGCAATTGTGCACCATAAAAAATAATTAGCCAGAGCACTAACTGCTAATTAGTGGTATAAATCTTTTGTCTCCCTGAACATCTAACAGTGGCTATAGATAAAATTAAAAAAATATACTGTTGATGGTTTTGGTCAAAGTTTTGGTGGATGTTCCCTAATGACATCCACCAAAACTACGTAACATCTGGGCACCTTTTAAATACGTAAAATATCCGCATAAAATTGCGTAAAATGTTTTATGATACTACAATCGAACAATAAATTAATACTTACCATTTCTTGAGTAAAAAGTTTTGACGCAATTTCCCAAACAAATAATACACTTAGGTCATCGGGATAAGTCGGCATGTTGTCGTAGCTTCGTAATTTTAATTTAGTATAACAAGTCATGAGTTGTCCATCATTCCATCTCAGTCCCTCTCGACCAAGGTGGTTTTGGTGGATGGAATCTAATGCTGACCAAGAACAACGACGAAGGTCGTAAGCTGTCTGAAGATACCGCTGACTAGCATGTGTGTAGTTGTAAGAACGTCGTCCCCAGGTTCCAGACTTCGTCAATTCTTCCCCACCTCCGCACCCCCCTAACTGGTCCTCCAATCCATTGAAGAAACTATTCTACAGCCAGTGCTGAAGAGTTTTATCACAGTTTTTATTCGGTGTAACATAGGGCTGGAAAATAAACTGACAAGAGCTCCACTTTTAGGCTTGGCTAAATCTATATATTATGAGGACCGCTATTTGCAATTTTTTACTGTTTGCATTTCGTGTTACTAACGTTATTAAAGAACAAGTCACCAATGATAAGCACGTTCATCCTTAAGTATTCAATCATACTTTGAATTGATCTCGGTAAAATATAAACTGAAGGCAATCAAACGGGTACATTGTAAATGTATCTTGCTGGGATTCCGCTGCGACTGTCTCAATGTTTTCTTTTGAAAAAAGGGAAAGTTTGTGTTCATTTGGCAAGAAAAAGCAAACAGGGTCCACGGATGGTTAGGAAAAAATTTGCAAAGGATATGAGTCGATTTTCATGACTTGATCCTCTACAAATCAGCCTACAGGAAAACGTTTTAAATCCTCGCTACTTATAAAACCAGCGCAAAAGGAAAAACGTGAGGGAATAGTTAAAGCTTTAGAAGATTTTATAGATAACCTCCCTACGTGTTTGTATTCGTTGTTATAATGCAGAGACAGAGTTCAAATTCACCTTTATTTCATTAAACATCGGATTAAGGGGAAGGGAAAGTGGATGCCACCCCTCAGGTGTTTTTTGACTTATATAGAGATCTGATCTTGGAAATTCACAGTTTCGTTCAGCCAATCCCCACTGCACCACGGCAGGCGTAAAAAGGTTCGTGTGTGTCCGAGGGTTTACTGAGTTCTCCTTCTGTGTAGCTTCCTATAATCCTTGAATGATATATATAATTAAAATATAAGTAAATAGATCATTTTCCATGCTTTTCTTTTTTCTCTTTCATCTGTCGGCTTCCCATAAATATTAGTAACGGTCTGCTCCAAGTACTCTTTCCACAAGGAAATAATTGACTGGAGTACAGCCAAGGAAAAATGTAGCAATGAAGTGAATGGTTCACTTATCTCTATGGAAACCGAACAAGAATGGCACTTTGTCAAGAACTTAACCAAAAAGCGAAAAAAGAAACGTTGGTTTATTGGCTTGAAAAGAGGTACTGGGTCTCATACGTGGTGTTGGTTGAGTGAAAGAATACCCTGCATTAACGTGACGTCAACTGGAACATGGCGTTGGACTATGGGAGAACCAAACAATTTAGAAAGAGAAAAATGCGGAGAGATGACGAAAAACGGAAAGTATAACAACATAAGGTGCCAAGGAGAGAGTTATGATGACAATCCAGGATATATATGTGAAAAACAAGTCAGTAAGTTCATGATTATACCGAAGCTATGTTGACCCAATTTAAAATAACAGTAAGACAAAAAAGTTGAAAGCGATCTTTGATTTTGAAGCGAGAAACTCGTATTCATATTTTCTTTCTAGATTGTTCCACCACATTCAACAATTCAGAAAATGGTGATATTTTCATTGAGAGAGCATCAAGACCTCGATCAACCCCCAAACCGTTAGTGACAAAGACAACGTTCACCTCACTCAGAACTCAATTGACAGATACTCGGAATGAGCTCCTTTCAGAAGGTAAGACTTACTTCGAGGGAAATGAGATATCTGATATGACCCTAGTCTGACATGGTTTGATGCTACTCTGGTTTAAAGATTTAATGAATGTAACCGAGAAGTTACAATTCATAGACCCAACGTTTCGACACCTCTGTCTAACACCCTCACAGGGGTGATCTAATCGCTGCAACAAGAGGTCGTTTATATGCTCAATAATTAGTTGCCCTTTGTGATGCCCTTTGTTCTGACGAGGTGTAAATAGGGGTCAGGTAGTAGGCCGCCATCATCACGATTTAAAGGAGCGTGGGTGGAGTGGATATGCTAGGCTTCCAAAAAAAAAAGGCGCTGGTGAAAATTTTAGAATTATCCCACCCACTGCTTTTTGATGCGCTTTAAACGTATACCAAACTGACGTTTGGTCTTTGCAATATACTCGTGATTGCAGTCATCTCACGGAAGATGATAAATAGTGTCGGTTCGTTGTTCTTGGGTAACGAAACTTCAGTTTGGTACACGCTTGAAAGAGTATTAAAAACCGATCTTCTTTTGCGAAAAAGAAAGTTCAGCTTTGTCGGAACACGCATGCTAACTAACCATACAATTGAGTGTGATAATTCTAAAATTATCACCACTATTCGACGTTAATATCAGCACCTTTCTTTGGAAGCTTGGCATATCAACTCCGCCCAAGTTCCATTCAATTGTGATGATGGTGGCTTCCTACCTGACGCCTATTTACAACCCGTCATGAAAAGGAGCAGCTAACTATTGAGCATATAAAAGGACCTCTTGTTGCTGCAATTAGATCACCCCTGATGGAGACAAGAGTCTCGAAACTGAATTGAATTGTAACTTCTTGGTTACATTTATTAAATCTTTAAACCAGAGGAACATCAAACCATATCTGATTGTTTACCTAGTTGCCTTGTGAACTTTAATATATTTTGATTGCGAAAAAAGTGTCAAACTAATTGTTTCAAGGGTCAACTGGCTCCCGAACATCAGAGTCCGCATTGCTAAGTATTTCAAAGTGTTGCTGTCATTTAATTACCAATGCAAAGAAAAAAAGGTGCTTGGCTATTGGGTTGCTTAGGGTTAGTAAAGTATGGTAAAGTATGTTAGTATGGTAAAACTATTGTTACAAGGATCAACTAGCTCGCGAACATCATATTGCGCACTGCTAAGTATTGCGCAGAAAATAAGGTGCTTCGCCAAAGAGTTTGAGATTTCAGCCTCCCGTGCGGAGTGCCAAGGGAAACAAGCTCATGGTGCCTACTGGCTTTTCTTTTTTTCTGAGGTTGCGAAAAGATGAATGCCACAGTTTTTTATATTCATTTCGAGCGTTTTTCTATCGTTCACTCAGTGAATTCTGTGCTTTGATAAACAACTCCGAAACCTCTTGGGTCAAGGAGTTCTACTGTTCGAAAGAACAGCAGACGTTTATCAAACAGAGTGAGAAACACGATAGAAAAACTCCGCCATTTTCTCAGTAAGAGGTCCCTTATTAGTTCAGGTTCATCTCCAAAAGATAAGTGGGTCATGAACCTTTCCTCCAAGCAGTCATCCGCGCTGGAACGGAGTGAATTAGAGGAAGGTCTGAGGTTTGCTATTGCTCCTGGTAAAATACCGACTGCTGAAATCGTCGCACCTGTTGAAGAAAGCGTTTCTCAACTGAACGACGACCATAGACACTCCGTAAAAGCAGAAGCAAGCAGCATACTCAGGTGCTTGTGCCTCTTACTTCCATAATGGTCACACCTTCATTCAATGCATGTGCGACATTGAATATGTGATGGCAAACACACAACAATAAAGGTCATAAACTTAAAAGATCAGTGATTATTCTGCACTTTTTTAGTCGCGGATATGCAAAGCGTAGAAACGACTATTGTTTGAGGTCAGAATATTTGGCTTAAATAGTTTAAAACAACCCTTGGTAGGCCGAATAGGCCCTTGAGACTTTGGTACCGATGTGGCTTATGGATGAATTTAGCTCTTTCCATTTTGTAGTGTACCAAAACATTCCTCCGTCACTGCCGGAAGGCAGTTACAACTAGTAGCACTCCTGATAAGAAGGAACCAGCGACTGGTTTTACTGTTATTCCTTACATTCACGGTGTTACGGAACCCATCTAGAGAATTTTGAATAGCCTCCACGTTAAAGTTGCTCAAAAACCTTTTCAAACTTTAGGGCGTTACATTTTCGCCATTTTCATTTAACAGGAAACGATTATCATTGTAATTATTTTAGTAGAGAAACTGTCGTCTTCTCTTCTTTATCAAGTTGACAGACAGGTTGTCAAGCATATATAACAAACCAAGATCTCTATGCGGAGGAGTTCTGGAGCCCATTTCTCGAAGCTCCAGGCCCGTTTTCATGTTTTCATTCAAGATGGATCTTCAAAAGTTTTGAAAACCATACAATAAAACCATTGGCTAAAGAAACAAAATGGACTGGGTAGGGTGCTACAACCTACTTCTCTATTCTTTTAATTTTTATTTTAAAACATGACCTCAAGCGCAATAAGTTGCTGGAGCGTTCTAGAAATGGAACCCAGGTCCAGTTTTTGTTCACTTTTAGTGAAGAAGAGCCAAAAACCAAGCGAACAGCCTGGCAATGGATCATTGGTCCACAATTCAATCGGAAACTCATTAACTGTTCAACTAAATGTAACACTAATAAACAATTGTTCAAGTACTCTTTCGGCTCAAGTTGCAACCGTCTTCGTTGAAATGGTAACCAGAAGAGGTTATAATCGACTGTGTAGGTCAGCATAAGATAAGAAATCTTAAATCATTGTATTTGTGATAGCACCTTAAAGTTTCTCGTAAGTAATACGTCTTCGATTATCCAAGTTGGCGGAAAGGGAGGAGGCATGGACAGCTCTAGGAAAAATCATCTAATGGCGAGGTAGGAAATGATATTACAATATAGTTCACACCCAAACCATCCTACAAGCTCATGAATGAACTTAGGCAGTAATAATGTGGATATCTCGCATTAGACTGTAAATCATCCTAACTACACCTTATTCGATGGCCTAGCATCTAATACGCGCGGATATTTTGCGAGTTGTAAAGTATTTGCGAGTTGCGAAGTATTTACGAGCAACGAGTCAAATGTCCGTTCGCACTATATTAAAACTATCGAATGAGGGGTTCATTAACCCATATATTTTTTTATCTAGTATTTTTTCTTCTAGTTTTAGGAAAATTCAAATGGTCATAGCCGAGCATCGTACCGATCGCATAATGCGCGCGTCAAAGAAGAAAGCAATAAAAAGAAACCATGCATTTAAGTGATCACAATGACCTAAAAAAAAAAAAAATGAGGAACAAATTATTTAGCTCTGAAGCCATTAAGTAGTTTTCTCAGCTAAAGTTTTGTTAAATTATGATATTATTCAGTGAATGACACAAGCATATTAGGAGAAAAATAACTCCAAGTGCTTCCAATAGGAGACGAACCTACGACCTTCTGATGAATACTTCGGATGCTCTACAGCTGAGCTACAGAAGACTGATGACAGACTAAGCTGTTTAACTAGGTCCATGATGACAAACTTCCTGCATACTGCTGGAAGAGGAATGTTAATATTGCTGTCACTGCTTTTCTCTTAGCTACCTTTTTCACTGCATAAACTCACTTCCATTGCTATGTAATTCTTTGATTTATATTTGCCTTTTTTAAATTTTCTTTCCATTGTCTGTACCTCACGTACAAAATAGGCCCAAAATGGTAACATGCTCCATCCAATTAAAATGCTACTTCTGTTATTATCTCCTTCAGTGACACCAACACTTTCTTCCTTTGGATCTCCTTCTATGGTCGTCAATGTGGATGAAAACGGAAGATTTGAATTTAAAAGTATGGCAGCTGGACCACCGGAACCTACGTTCTTAGTTAAAAAGACAAAACCAGCACCAGGTTTGTTGCGAGAGCTTGAGTCGAGTGAACATACCTGAAAACTAACCTGGCTTGTAAAGAACAAAAATTGAAACTTATAGGAGCGTACTCAACCAACCGCATTATTATCCACCCAATTGTTGTGAATGAATTTTCAGTCCAACATAGTCGGGATGACTGAGTAGGAAGTTGATTAACGTTGAATCCTGTTCATAAGAAACCAGTCATGAATTATACTTTTAATGAGTGGTCCATCCATGCGTAAAGTTTCAAAGTACGAGGATTGATGTTTAGCGAACATAAACGGAACGCAGGGGTCTCCTGAAGAGTAATCGAGAGCAAATATCATGGAAGTGGTACCTCTTCTTCTTTTGATTGCGCGGCTTTTAGCTATATTAGAGTTCTGCTGTGAATTTCATTAAAATAACTTAATTGTGCGGTAATATTGGTTGTTTTCAGACGGTTTCAGAGGACCTGTTTGGTGAATGGTGCACGCAACATAATTCTCAGTGCGACAGAACATGACGCCGGGCTATACTTCTGCACTGCTACTAACAAGTTTGGATCAGACGCGAAGCAACACACTTTGAATGTTCAAATTTCCGGAGGAAGTGGGTCAGGTAATAGAAGTTCAGCTTAAAAATCACAGCATAAAGAGCTGCAAAACTTTGATGTTATTATTATTATTATTTATTTATTTATTAATTTTTTTTTTTTTTATGCTGAAGTCGTGAAAATAAAAATTTAAAGCACCAGTCTCAAAATAAGTAGAAAACGACCGTTTTAAGCTATCCAGTATTTAAAAACAAGGTTTAAATTAATGTTTAGAAACATCGTATTTAGGGATCGTTCTCGGACTTACCATAAACAAGCTTTTGTCTTTCAGGCCAAACCTGAAAAGCCCTGAGACAAGAGTGCCCAAGATGTAGAATCTACTTAGTAAAAGTGAAGAAAAAGTGTAAAAGCCACGGCCTTCGTTATGAATCGTTTTTCCTTTCTCTCCTCAAGAGGCTTGACGCCTTGGAAGAAAAATCGTTGAGTAATGCAACGGTACTGTACAATTGAAAGGAGTAACACGAGGATTCCTTCTTTTTTAGTTTTTCAGATCATTACTATAGT